GAATAATAACAAAAAAAGGAAAACTTCGAAGACATAGAAATACCCTCCCTTCAATGGTTTGGCATTCCTTGGCAATCTTGCTGTGAACCAATCTTGAAAGTTGAGTGATGATGCTGACCTCATTTCATCTTTGTTTCTCCACTTAACTAAGCATTTTTCTGTACACAAGCACTCTCCATTGGGAGGAGAGGTATAGGTGCAGACCACAGGTCAGGTCATTCTACATGAAGTAAAATAATTATCAAAAGCACAGATGGACAGTAAAATCCGGGTATGAGGAAAGTAGCAATGGAATCAGAACAAAGAGTCGTCTGGAAAGCACAGGGTAATAGCAGGAAGTCAGACTAGGTGGCAAAAAGCCACTTGTCTTTGGACTGGAAGGAGATTCTGAATCTCTGAACCCAACCTCACTTTCATAGGGAAGGAAGGCTTCTGGTGCTCTGATTGCCTATTAAGTGATCTTTAAGCCCTTACTACTCAGAGTGCTCATTGACTCAGAAGCATTAGCATCTGTCTGCAAACCCAGAAGGTGCAAGGTTCAAGGCCCCAGCTGCTCTGCAGGAGAAGGATGGGCAATCTCCTCCCGTGCAACTAACTGCCTCTGGAAATGCACCAGAGGGTCAGCTATTGGTTCAGACCCTAAGGCACTCAACAAAACAAGGCCTCATTCCAGACCTTTTGAATCTAAATCTTCATTTAAATAAGATCCTCATTTGAGGCTACGTCCTCTGAAGTGCAAAAGAGCTTTAAGCTATGGGGTCTATATTCCACAATGATGCTCCCAATGAAAATAACCTTTCAGCTGAGACTTTTCTTTTAGACTCATTTACTTTCCCATCAAGTCTCATCTCCTGGTGAGAAGTTACATTTCCACCCCAGGTATACTGAATTAAAATCTGCCTTTTAACCAGATTCCCCAAGTGATTCTTATTTATACATAATGCAAACTCTCAGCAGATGCTGGAATCAGAATGAACTGGATCAAAGTCCTCTGAGAAACTCTGCTTGACCCTAAAGAAGTAGAGTAGAGTGAAAATTAAAAGTTACACATTCAAAAACAATAGAATTTAAAGCTTTCCTCTGTCTTTCACCATCTCTGGGACCTTCTCCAATAATGTCTTGGGCCTAAGCCTTAGTTAGTTCCTAGTTCTTGGAGTCAAGGAACAGTTAAATGAGGTAAGCCTAGAAAGCACGTTCACCCCAGAAATAATCCTCGTTATTAGCACATGATAACTCAAAAAAGGCATTCCTAAAAAAAAAAAAAAGCATCTCAGGATCATGAGTAAAAACCCGTTGTACAAGACAATTGTGAGGTTAGATGGGAAGAGGATATAGACTTTCTCCTGAGACATACCAGACAAAGCCACCTTGTACAATACTCAATCAGAAGAGAATTTTTGGCAAAAGTAAACCGGGAAGCTCGTTACTCCACACATCATTGTTCTAAGAAAAGAAATGAGCCTTTCAAGGTATTAAAACAAACTAAACACATTATGCCAAAGAAGTATCCAACATAATCTTCTAAAACACTAACACTTCAGATACAGTGCCTGATTATACCCACAATGACCCTGTGGAAATCCCACTGCCATCAAGTCAATTCAGACTCATAATAGACACAGAGGAGAGGTGCCTAAGAGGGTTTTCAAGGTCCTAGATCTTTCTAGAAACAAACTGTCTCATCCTTCTTGCTTGGGTGACTCAGTGGTTGTGGATGTTAGCTGCCACTGAGTCAGCTCCCGCTCAAAGAAGCCCCCCTGGGTAAACTCGAATGAAGCCCTGCTCAATCCTCCGTCATCCTCACTCTCTCCACTGGGCTTCAGCCAATTGTTCTAGTCACTGTGTCAAGTGCAGTGAAGAATTATTAGTATTTCTATCTCAGTTGTTAAAGGAGACGAGGAAACGATTCTAGACAAGGAAGAGGATTTGCCTCAGGTGTGGAAGGACAGGTTGCAGGTCACCAAGCCCCCCGCCACACACAGGGAGAATATTTTTTATCGTTGGGTGATACACACTGATACACATTAAGTCTGAAAAAAAGAGGAAGAACATTCAAATGAAAACAGATGGAAGTATAGTCGGTTGCTAACTTGGCGATGGGGTTTCCTGAATTGTACAACGGAACCACACACATCAAGTTAGGAGGGTCGGCTTGCCTATGTCTGTTTCTATCCTTTGTGCTTCCATACTCAAGGCCAAGATGCTGAGCATGATGGCTTCTAATTTTCCAGTCAGGAGGACTCAGATACTCAGGCAAGATTGCAGAGGGAATAGTAGGGCTGGGAGAATACCATTTCCAAGAAAAAGTTGATAGACAGGATATAGCTTAGTTCCTGGGGCAGAACATGAATCAGTAAATTTTTAAAAGTGTTACTTCTTTATATCCTGCTTCTCCACCACCATAGGCAAAGACTACATGGAAAAGAGGATAGTATCTCTCCTGGGTAATGAAAAGAAATGGGAGACTTATTTCTTGTCCACAATGAGCAGCCAGGAGAAGCTGTGGAGTCCTACTTCTAGAGCACTTCAAATATCAGAATAGTACATTTCTATCTTTATTCCCTGGGACCACAATGAAGTTTATTAAAGGGTCAAGAAGCTTTCCTATACTAATTTTTCCCCTTCACTTCTACCTCTCCAATATCAGGAAAACAGAAATCATGAAAATGACAGGAAGAGATCTACTCTGATGCCCTGTATAAACTAGTCATTAGTCCTCCTCCTTGGTATTACCTCTTACAACCTTCCTACTTAAGTTTGGTCTGTGGACCTTCAGCATCACCTGGGTCCTTGTCAGAACCAGATTCTCAAACTGCACTCAAACCTACTTGGATTTTTCAGGGACTGCCTCCCCAACTAACCCATAAAATCCATCAGGAAGTCTTCCAGTGACTGATGCCATACCTGGCACATGCCCAGTACTCCTTCCACATGTGCTGAATGAGTGATTCTCTGGTAGTGCCCAAGAGTTATTGGCCTCTGAGATGTCTTTGCTGCTCTTGATGTTTCCAGAATTCTCCCACTGATGTCCCTAGACACCTTCGAGCAGCTGGCAAGTTCAACGATCTTGACATCACATTTCATTTAAATGCTCATTCTCTATGCATTTGCACATCATGAAAATCAGTGGTAATGTTGGCAGTCAATTAGATGTGTATTACATTTTAAAATGTTGTTCACTGTCACGCAGAGACAATATGGAGGGGAATTTTGTAAAGTCACGTTTTCCTATGAACTGCATGTGTAATTGAAAGACCACAAATGTTCAGAATGATTCTTTTATGTGGCCCTTAACTAAAGAAAAGGCATAAAATATTATCAAGAAGTAGGGGAAAGCCTTATAAATCATGAACATCTTTCTTTTGTTGAAAAGCTCAGGCCTGACTTCCCTATAGCCTCCAGAGTTGGGTTACATTTGGGCTTTGCCTCCAGGAAATTTCTTTACCTCAAGACTACCACCTACTTGGGCTAAAGAAGAGATCCATGTATCAAAAAATATGCCTTCAGCATAAGACAAAGACCAGAACTCCTAGGGAAACCATGAGTTGTTGTTGTTATATGTTATGTGCTGTTGTTATGAGTCGTTTGTGACTCATAGTGACCCTATGTACAACAGCCCTAAACCCTGCTCTATCCTGTGCCAATCATACTGCCTCTGACACACCCATCCCGATTACCCCAGTCACTGAAACAATCTACCTCATAGAGGGTCTTCCCCTCTTGCGCCGTCCCTCCACCCTCCCAAGCATGATGTCCCTCTCCAAGGACCTGTACCTCTTTACAACATGTCCAAAGTATGTCACCCCTGATGGCCCTACATGGTCATACAGAATACTTTGAACATGCTATGTCAGTAGCTGCAGACATATTGCATTGGCTGGGAAGCTGTTTCAAATATTTACACATATATATGCATGCAGGCAGCTCTGGTGACCTAGTGGGTCAGGAGTATCACTGCCAACCCAAAGGCAGGGGGTTCAAATCCCAAAGCAGCTGCATGGGAAAAAGATGTGAAGCTTCTGAAAATCCACTGGAGGAGAGTCAACTTACGAGTCAGTTCTGATTCCATAGCACATAACAACAGTAGCGTATGTGTATATAGGGAACTTTGGTGCCGTAGTCTGTGGGTAAGCATGCTACTAATCTAAAAGCTGAGCCTGTCTGCCAGTTCAAATCCACCAGCGGTTCTGCAGGAGAAAGATGGGCAGGCAACATCCTCTTGTGCCATTTGCAGCCTCAGAAAAGCTGCTGGAGGATCAGTTATGGGTCCAGTCTGACTCAGTGGCAATGATTTTTGTTGTTGTTGATATGTACTTAAAATTTACAATATCATCACAATGTTTAGCATATAAACATTCAATTAACTCAGAATTTCCAACCACAAGAAAGATAAATATGTACCTTCCCAGGTATGTTTACAACATACTTTGCTGTTTGATGAAACAAATGTGGAAAAAGCTCCCTCATATATGAAATACATGACTCTTGATTGTTCTTATGTTAACTAAGGACATGCTGTGAAGCAATACACTGGGAGTTAAAAACACAAGTTTCTGGCCCCTGAGCTGCTAGAAACGTCCCATGCAGCCTTGCACCAGTCTTCTTACCTCTCTGTCCCATGTACCTCCCTTGTGAAATGTAAACAGTATTTTTTTTATTTATGTTTTTGTAAACAGTATTTTTTATTTTGCATTTCTGATAGATAGTTGAGTACATGGATAAAGAAAAAATATTTCTAAATTAAGTCAGTGAATTAATTTTAAAACTTAAGAGTCTGATGAAGGTATTTTTTAAATTAATTTTAATGGAAGTTTACAGAGACTTAGGATTTCCATTCATTCATTGTTGCACTTTTCTCCCTGCCCACCCCTCCCCATGAAGATAAATTATAAAGTGCATAAACCACTGAGAATATCCAAAAGGGTGAGACAGGTGTCAGGAGATGGGGGAAGACTTGGTTTTTTATGATTCTCATTCTGCTTCTTTTCTTTCTTTTCTAGGACTCTGTTCCCAACCCAGTTGTCAAACCCATTGTTGGAGGTAAGCCTATGGAATTAGGAATAACTGTGTAGTGAATCACACTGATGATGCCATAAGGTTTGGGAGATGATTAGTGGTTCAATCACCATGAGAGTGCCCAGCAAACAGTAAAGGAAGAACTGAGCGGATGCATACAGATTTACCCTCGCAGCCCCTGATCAATACTATTGCCTCCACCAACCTCTCACCTGGCAAGCCTATTAATGAAAATCTGTACCTCAGGCATACGCTTTTGCACAGGCACTGACAGGAAGAAACACAGAGTAGTGTGAAGAACTTGAAATCCAGAGTTGGGCATAGATGGGTATAAATCATGGCTCTACTTCTCTTCAAACCTCAGTTTTTCCTACCTACCTTCCTACACAGACTGCAGAAATTCAAATATCATTGTGATTTTACTGTGCAAAATAAGTTTGGTTCCTTGGTTCCATCCCAATATTCCCACAGCCTCTTCATAACAAAACACTCCATCAACCAAATGATGATTCCCATGACCAGCAGAGAAATTCCTTGTCCGTTTTTTAAATTTATTTTCATGGAAGTATACAGAGAGGTTGGATTTTCATTCATTCATTGTTGCACATTTTCCTCCCTCTCCCTCCCTTCTTCCACCCCCAGTCCACTTTGAAATGCACCTCTTTCCTTGCCAATTTTAAAAACAGCTTTTCTTTCCCCCTCTCTATGTATAAACATTTGGAAGAGTGAACATAATCAAGGTAGATTGTGTGCATTGTGGTTCACTTGTGCACACCTCACAACTCTCTAAGGGTGATTAGAATCCTTATTTTATAGGTAAGGGAACCAAAGCTCAGATTGGTTTACCAGTTTGCCTATGACTTCACAGTGAGTAAGGAATGAGGAAAGATCTCAAAGCAGCTGACCTACTTTGGATCCTTTATGCTTAGCTAGGATCAAAGGGTCAGACACATAGTGAAACTCAGTACTGTTCTAATGCCTCTACCAGCTTTCCACATCTGAGAATCATTTCACACACACTGTGTAAGTGTTCCTTTTTCCTTTCTTTTTATTATAGCTTGAGTGAAAGTTTACAAAGCAAATTAGTTTTCCATTCAAAAACGTACACATATTTTTCCCTTGACATTGGTTGCAAACCCACTCTCCTCATTTCCTTCTGGTTTCTCAGTCCCGTTCTCCCTTCTTTCCCACTCCTTCCTGCCTTCTTCTTGAAGTTTATTTTTAGGTGAATTAGGCCCTTTCTGGCTATTGGCTCACTGTACTGTACTTTCTTCCCTGGTCTTATCCATCATGTTGCAGGTTTGTCTGTTGTTTGGCTGAGAGTTGATTCCCGGTGGTGGGTTCCGTTCCAGGTTTGTAGGGTGTCCAAGGCATATAGTGTCTCAGGGATCTGCCAGTCTCCTCAGACCAGTAGTTGCCACACTCTTGATCACTTCCTCTGCACCTGCCCGCCCCCACGCCCCCCAGCTGCTTGTTTTAATGTCTCATCAGTGTGCTGTTATCCAGTGCTGGGACAGAAGGCTTAAGGTGACCACATATGTAGATTTACATTATAGTTGACGTGGTGGAAATAAAGGTCGTGGTAGAAGAGCTAAGATCAAACTTAAGCCTCAGCTTTGCAGACCAAGAGTTGGGTTCATTTCAGTTAATTCTTTCCATTGCCTGAGAGTTAAAAGAGCTTTTCATCTTTCCTGGGATTGTTATGTGACCTCTAATACCCAGGGACTCCTAGAAGCCATGTAGTTGTTACTTGCCGTCAAGTCAACTCCTACGTCAAGGTAACAACTTCCACAGAAGAATCTGACTGCTATGATCCATAGGGTTTTCAGTGGCTGGTTTCTGGAAGTAGACTGCCATGAATTTCTTCCTAGTCTCTCTTACTCTTGAAGCACCACTGAAATCTCATCATCATAACAGCACAGCCTCCAATACTAAGTAGGTGGTGGTTGTGTATGAGGTACATCGGCTGTGTTAATAACTCGGGCCTCCCATTCACTGTGCCATTGCTTGTCTATCATACAAATCCTGAGAAGTGTGAAACAGAAGCCAGAGCACATATGGATCCTCACACTTTCCCTCTTCTCCCTTTTAATTCAGTCTGCAGTTGAAGAGATGATCTCTCCAAAAGCAGATATAGGGGTTGAAATTCAGACTTTCTTGGCATTCTAGTTCCTGGCCTGTGGGGACCTGAAGGAATGCACTTTTCCTCTGAATGACTTGCATTTCCTTTTTCTAACATAATCAAGGGAGTGAGGCAAGCAGGGCAGGATGACCTTGCCCTGGCATGGATGTCGCCACAGCATTCCATAAGGAACTTGGGTGGCATAATAGGCTGAATGCTGGGCTACTATCTGAAAGGTTGGCAGTTCAAGGTCATCACTGTTACATGGGAGGAAGATGAGGCAGTTTGCATTGACTGAGATTTACAGCCATAGGAACTCAATGTGACGCATTAGTCAGGATCAACTCAATAGCAGGAGGGTACAATGTTCTATAAGTCAATCAAATACCTTAGGACTCTTCATTCACTTTACCTTTCCAGTGGTTTACAACACTTACATAACTCAGGAAGCTATTTTCCTACTTCCATTCTCCTGAAAAATGTGGCTATAAGAGGAGACCAAATGAGGTTGACTTGCTAATCTTTTTATTTTTTGTCTGTTTTAGAAGTTCTGTAATTTTAATCACAGAACTGCCAGAAAGTTTTGGCATAATATCAATGTAAAATCACAGTTCTTTCATTCTTATATATTGGTGCAGTCAGCTTCATTGTGGGCTGTCCCGGGTCCATCTGAATTGACAGTTCCAGAGAATATCCCTTTAATGTAGTGAGGTTTCTTTCTTCTTCTTCTTCTTTCCCTTCATTTTTTAAAATTATTATTAATTTTAGTGAAAGTTTACAGAGACTTTGGATTTCCATTCATTTATTGTTGCACTTTTCTCCCTGCCCACCTCTCCTCCCTAGTTCACTCTTCTCTTTGAAAAGTAAAAGAAAAATTCTTTTATTGTTATACAATCCCTCCCCCGAGGTCCACTCCACTATGCAACCTTCATTCTGGACTCCTGCCATGACAATAATATCTAATCATATATCCCTTTAAAAACAGTTCTCTCCTTCATCTGTTTCAACGCAGTATATATAATTTATCACATCATTCTCAGTCTCCCCCCAACCTCGATTGTCAGTCCCGTTTTGCAACAGTGGCACTATGCAGTATTTGTCCTTTTGTGACTGAGATACTTCACTCAGCATAATGTCCTACTGATGAACCTACCACCATAAGATCAATAAAAGCTATCATTGACAGCAGACACTAAAATAAGTAGAGTAAATATTCGCTATTATCCAGATCTTCCTGATTCTACGCGGCTATGGTCCAGGCAATCAGAGGCCCACCAGACTGTAGACAGGAGAGGAAGTGTGGAAGAGTTAGCAGCCCTCCTTCTAATCGTCCTAGAAAGACTGAAACCTAGAAGAGCCCTCGCTCCTATCAAGGGACCTGTATGGGTGCAGTCTGTAGGGAGTGTGCATGGCTAATCCAAAAGTAGCTCTTCTTGGCAATTCTAATCCACCAGCTGCTCCTCAGCAGAAAAATGGGCAAGCTCCGCCGATGCAATTTGCAGCCCTGGAGAAGCCCCTGGAGGGTCAGCCAGGAGTTTTTTCCACTCAATGGCAATGAATTGGAAGGATTTTTTGGTTTTTTTGGTTAATTCCTATCATGGGGACTAATTCATATGTAAATTGCCTGAATCCAAGAGGGTTTCTCCTGCTTAGGGAGAATGCTCTTGCTTAAGGGGTAAATTGCTTTCTAGAAAGATGCAGACATATTGTTACATCAGTTCCTCTAAACACATTCCCATCATTCAAAACTTATTGCCGTCAAGTCTACTCTGACTCATAACGACACAATAAGACAGAGTAGATTTGATGGGGGAGTTGAGAGAAATTGAAAGAAATCTGTTCTGAGAAACAATGTATTTTAATTTTGTAAATAAATTGGTATAATTTTTAAAAAAAGAGTAGAACTGTCTGTCCCACATGGTTTCCAAGGCTGTAAATAATTCAGGAAAGCAAACTGTCATATCTTTCTCCTGTGGAGCAGCTGGTGCATTTGAACTATCAACTTTTCATTAGCAACTGAAAACTTTAGCCATTGCACCACTAGGGCTCCTTACATTATTCAAAACTACCTTTAAACTTTCTTTCACAGCAAAGCTAAGAGAATGAAAGACCTCTCTATAAGAAATAAACTACAAAATTAGTCTCTTAAAGCATAATAAGATCATGAAGAAACATCCAGAATGGTGGTGATGGTGTGTGTTGTGAGTCTGAACTAGCCCAGAGCTGACCTTCAGCAGATTTTCAAAGGCTATAAATTGCACGGGAGGAGACTGTCCATCCTTCTCCCACAGAGTCACTGGTGCATTCGAACTGCATGTGTTCGAGTTTGCAGCATAGCTACTTACTACAAGGCCACCAGTGCTAGAGGAGTCTAAATCTACTATCCCCGTCCCTGTTCCAAAGAGGAGAGAGGAGGAAAGTGCAAAAGAAATGAGGAAAGGGCAAAAAAGAAAATCATTTGGTCCGGTGAAGTACGTTGAGATTTCATACTTGAATTTAGCACATACAAGTCTATAAATCCAGAGATCTTGGAGCTTCCTACCTTTCAAACTCTTTTCAAAAACTCTGGGGAAAGAATGAAAGAGGAAGGGAAGAAAAGAGGAAGAAAGGAAGGGAGAGTTAGAGGGAGGAACAAAGGATTCTTTGATCCCTAGTCCTCTAACAAGTTTTTTCATATATTTCACTTAAACTCTGTGGATTCCATGCATGTTGGCTTCAATTCCTGTCCAGGAAATGAAAGCCAACCATTACATTATAGCTTATATTTTAGGTGGTAGACTCTGCGCTCATTGTTATGCATTATCCCACTTCATTCTCCCAGCAATTCATCAAGGTTATTGTTGTTGTTGTTACTTTTGAAAAGCCAGGACAGCTCAAAGAGGTTGAACGCCTTACACAAACC